CACAGTAAACACGGTGGAGAATAAGGCGTGGAAAATCAGCGTGGAAAGATCAGATGCAGGAAGACCACAGGCCAACCTGGAGCCTAGACATTGCAGACATGCTAGACATTACCCTCTGCCTGGCATCTTTGGGCACAGAGTTCAGTTCAGCTCCCCTTTAAATGAGGATTCCAGATCTCTGAATCTACTAGAAATATATTTATTTAATTTCTACTCATTTTCAATGAAGATCATGTAAGGCTGCATTCATACTTCTGCACTTTAGTATGGTTATTACAGTGTGTTGAAAAAGCAAATTCAGCTTAAAGTAGAAAAAAACGAGTACAGTACAGTAGCCTTATATAACTTAAGGGCCTACTAACATTTATTTGCCTAAAAGCTAAAACCATGTATATTTTGCACGTATTTCCTGCTTTCTATGCACAGCTGCATTCTTTAAAAAGTATACACAATGCTATATAGGCAACACCATTAATTCCTAGGGAAGATGTGCCAGCTGCAAATCATAGTTACACTGCAGTTGGCACATTGCATGCAGATGCATTGATGAAAACTGTTGTAATTAAAACAATAATAGAGGACTAACTACCCAGTACTTTGATTGTACTATAGTTTGCAGCATGTTTCAGTAAATTTTTTTCAGACACTGCAAAACAAAAGTCAGTCTGAATACTTTCCTGATTTTCAGGTTCGCTTCTGATTCTTTGTTTTTTTCATACTATGGTAAGGTCTTGAATTCCCCTGTATTATATGCATATGCATGACCTGCCATAGGCACTAAGTCATCTCCCCCTGCACTAGATAAAACACAACCAACCAATCTGTGACTTTATTTAAAGTAGAATTAAACTCTCCTTTGTCTACTGCTAGCAAAAAATTTTAAAAGTTGCCAAAAATGTATCTGTGTTTCTGCCGCTCACTCCTGTCTGAAGATCTGAAGCTTCTTGAGCGTGCAGGATGATGGGGCAGGCATGCACAGTAGAGATCTTTGGTGGGGAGACTAGGAGAGACACGGGGGAGCTAAATGCACGCAGCCAGGAGCAGACACCGTGGGACAGAAAAGACAGGAGTCTGCGCTGGATCAAAGGGGCACCAGAGCTGGAGGGATTACTAAAAACAAGTGGAACAAAGAAAATTATCGTATAAAGAGGCATTATTTCAGGTAAGTCCTTAAAGCAGCAGGGGGGGGGGGGG